AGAGCCTCTGCTTGGCATGCAGAAGGTCCCAGGTTCAGTCCCTGGCATCTCCAGGTAAAAGGACCAGGCCAGAGGTGATGGGAAAGACCTTGACCTGAGACCCTGGCTCAGTGGGAGAGCCTCTGCTTGGCATGCAGAAGGTCCCAGGTTCAATCCCTGGCATCTCCAGGTAAAAGGACCAGGCCAGAGGTGATGGGAAAGACCTTGACCTGAGACCCTGGCTCAGTGGAAGAGCCTCTGCTTGGCATGCAGGAGGTCCCAGGTTCAGTCCCTGGCATCTCCAGGTAAAAGGACCAGGCCAGAGGTGATGGGAAAGACCTTGACCTGAGACCCTGGCTCAGTGGAAGAGCCTCTGCTTGGCATGCAGGAGGTCCCGGGTTCAGTCCCCGGCATCTCCGGTTTAGAGGACCAGGCAGGAGGTGATGGGAAAGACCTTGACCTGAGACTCTGGCTCGGTGGCAGAGCCTCTGCTTGGCATGCAGGAGGTCCCAGGTTCAATCCCTGGCATCTCCAGTTAAAAAGGACCAGGCAGGAGATGATGCGAAAGACCTTTCTCTGCCTGAGACCCTGGAGAGCAGCTGCCAGTCAGAGTAGACAAGACTGACTTTGATGGACCGATGCCCGGATGCGGTACAATGCTGCTTCATGCGGGCTTCTCTTAACAGGTCTCTCTTGGTTCTATACAGGCATGCAGGTGGGACGTCTTTCACAGCCCCTGTTTGCCAGTAGATAACATATCATGGTGCATGTGTGTGTGTGTGTGGGGGCAGCGTTCCCTCTAAACTGAGTCAGTGTGAGCTAGCTCAGTTTTTGAGCCTCCGGCTCACACATTTTTGTCTCAGCTCAGGGTGGATGGCTCCAGAACAAACTGATTGATGCAGCAGCCAAATCGCCCGCTCGCAACTTTAATGCCAGGAGCTCAGAAAGTAGAATTTTTGCTCACAGGGCTCCACGGCTTACAGGGAACATGGGTGGGGCGGGAGGCTTTATAAAGAGTTTCCCCACAGCAACTCAGAACAAATAGCCAGTCTCTTACTGTCTCTCCAGTAACCTTACCTGTGAATTTCTACCTATTTATTGTGTCATAGGAAGATTTGTTCTGAGTACTATATACGTCATATTGATATAATTTATTAAAAAACTGATTTTTGGTGTTAAGATTTGGGCACGTGCATTCCCGCCCCTTGCTTCTATATATTGTTGTGCCATTGCCTTTCACCTTGAATCTCCAGTGCCTCCGGCAGAGAGAGGCCTTTGCTGTTCGAGACCCTCTGAACAGGAGACCCCGGCCACCGAAACTGCCGAGCAGGAGCCAAGTTTGACACCCCCCCCCAAACATTCGACATTCAAGAGGTCTTCAAGCCTAGGATGTCAAACTCGTATCCTCTCCCCTGGCCACAATAACGCCACGTGCACAGTCAATCAAGTCTCCACCGGCCAGTCAGAAGCCTTGAGGGACAAAAGCCACAGCTGGACCCGCCCACTTTCTAAAAACACACGGCAGGCGCCAGGAAACGTGTCGGTGGGCGTTATGGCGCCCCAGGGCACCACATTGGGGACCCCTGATTGAAGTCTTTCAGACGCAATTTGAAAAAAAAAAAGCAACCTTGGGCGCATTCTTTTTGGGGAGGGGCTATTTTGTGTGTGCGTGTGTGTGTGTGTAAGCCTGGAAGTCATGGTTGACTTCTGACGACCTCCGAGTGGGGCTTGGATATTTCAGAGAGGTGGCTTGAATAACAGACTATCATAGAATCCCAGAGTGGGAAGGGACCCTACAGGCCATCTAGTCCAACCCCCTGCTCAATGCAGGATGAGCCTAGAGCATCCCTGACCAGTGTTGGTCCAGGTGCTGCTTCAAGACTGCCAGGGAGGGGGAGCTCACCACCTCCCCTGGCAGCTGAGTCCACTGTGGCACGACTCTGACTGTCAAAAAGGTTTTTCTCTAAGATCCAGCCAGCTTGCTGTTGCCTGCCTCTGCATCCCGGTCCTGGTATTCCTTGGAGATCTCCCTTCCAAGTACTTGCCAGGGTCGGCCCCGCTCGCCTTCCAAGATCTGACGAGATCAGGCTTGCCTGGGCTATCTAGGTTGGGGCTCCGGTGGGGCATTCTCGAACTGAGCCCCCTCCCACCAGACGTTGTCGGTGTCTGTGCACATTCCTTCCGAGGAAGGAGGGGAACTCACGCTTCGCTGGCGACGGAGGAGTTGCGCGACATCGTCTTGGGCGACATGTCGTAGTCACTGTCCGAGCGGTACAGGAAAGATTCGCGCCTCTGGCTCTGCGGGAAGCTGGGGTGAAGCACCAGGCCTGGGCTGGCCTGGGAGTCCAGCGGGCTGCGTCCGGGAGAGGGGCCATTCTCCACATCGAAGCTGCACAGGGGAGAAAAAATAGAAAGGCGTCAGGGAGGAAAATAACTTCTGGGAAACTCACCAGGACATCCTGTCATCTTTGAAATTTCATGTTGAACACCTTGAGCACTTTAGTCAATAACTTGTTAAGAATGTTTTTGTACTGTTGGGATTTTAAATGGTTTTAATTATGTTTTATATTGGCGTTTTCCCCTATGTAAGCCGCCCTGAGCCCGCATTGCAGGGAGGGCGGGGTATAAATTGAATTAAATAAATAAATAAATAAATGTGGGCTGTGCCACCAGAGGCCTACTAGACCCAGGGAGCTTGGCTAGCAGTAGGGGAGGCTGGGCCTACACATCCCAGAAGGCCTTGGGAAGTTTTGGCGCCGATTTTGACCAATAGGGAAGAAGAGGGCTGGGGAATAAAAGAACTGGTGCGAGAGGGAAAGCTGTTCTTCTTCCCAGGGAACAGTGCCAGAACAAAGAGGCTGCTGTGGGGAAGAAACCCTCATCCTGAGGGAAGGGTGAGTAGTCTAAGGCCACTTGAGATAGTGAGCTAGGGACAGTATATATTTCTTTTCTTTTCACCCACTTACTGTTATTATTCGGCACCCTGTTGTTTGATCTCCTAGAAAATAAGCTATTTTCATTGTTCACTCTGCCTGGTCCTCACACCTGTTATTTGGCCAAAAGGGAGGTCTGAAGGCCTGGGAGGGTGCTCTGGGCCGCCTCAGAGGAGCCTGGAACTAGAGTGGTGGCAGCATCAGGTGACACCCCACCTGAGCCGTGACACATCCCCTCTCCCTGGCTGCCAAAAGAAGGTCTCCATGAAAAGAGAGGCAGCGTGGCAAAGCGGCTAGAGCGTCAGCCTAGGATCTGGGAGACCCAGGTTTGAATCCATATGCTTATCCAATTCCCTCTTATAAGAACCTAAGAGACGCTAATGTCGGATCAGACCAGTGGCCCCTCCAGTCCAACACTCTGTGTCACACAGTGGTCAAAAATACCAGGTGCCCTCAGGAGGTCCACCAGTGGGGCCAGGACACCAGAAGCCCTCCCACTGTTGCCCCCCCCAGTACGTACCAAGAAGACAAAGCATCCCTTGACCCAGAGTTCCTATCTACACCTTGTAGCTAATAGCCACTGATGGACCTCTGCTCCATATGCTTATCCAATTCCCTCTTATAAGAACCTAAGAGACGCTAATGTCGGATCAGGCCAGTGGCCCCTCCAGTCCAACACTCTGTGTCACACAGTGGTCAAAAATACCAGGTGCCCTCAGGAGGTCCACCAGTGGGGCCAGGACACCAAAAGCCCTCCCACTGTTGACCCCCCCAAGCACCAAGAAGACAGAGCATCACTTGCCCCAGAGTCCCTATCTATGCCTTGTGGCTAATAGCCACTGATGGACCTCTGCTCCATATGCAGAGAAACAAAGAAAGCAAATAGAGGGGAGGGAGGGGAGGAAGAGAGAGAGGGGAAAAAAGTATGGCTCCCCTTCGCTTCCCCGGCTGCCCTGCCGGGAGCCGCACAATATGTGTGAAAGAACCGCATGTGGCTCCCGAGCCGCAGTTTGGCCACCCCTGCTCTAAGCTGTGGAGTCTTCTGAGGAAAAATTCTACTTTGTGAGCTACTGGCATTAAAGGAGTGAGCGAGTAAAGTTAGTTTGCTCTGGAGTCCCATCCTTCCTGAACTAAGACAAAAGTGTGCAAGCTGGAGGCTAAAAAAACTGCGAGCTAACTCACACTAACTCAGCTTAGAGGGAACACCGGCCCTGCGCAAAGGCCCATCTCTCCTTCCTTTTCACCCTGAGAGTCTTGTTTGTCTTCCCTTCTTCCTGCCTCCCCCCCCCCATAGGAACCCAACGCAGCTTTCATCATTCACCTCTCCTTCATGCTACCCCCACAAACAACAACCCTGTGAGGTTGGTCAGGCTGAGCATGTCAGCGGCTGGCCTGAGGTCACCCAGCCAGCTTCCACGGCAGGGTGGGGATTACATGCCCTCAAGTGGCCACAAAACAGCCCTCCCTGCCCGGATATGAACTATCCACTTCATTTATTTTGAGCACAGAAACTTTAGACTCGGAGCGAGAACTGGGATTGCGTCGATGGAAAAGCTGCCAATCTTTGGCAATTTGGGGACTGCCGACCTCCCTCATCCTTGCATGGCTGGGCCGCACGCTGTCCGACCCAGATACCGGACAGAGTTAAACATCTCCAGGTGCATATGCCGAAGATTTGAGGGTGATCGGAATAACCTTCCCTGTGGAAATCTCTCTCTTTCTCTCGGCCCTGTTCCGTTTTCCATCGAGCTTGTAGCTCTCCCTGCTGGTCATCACATCACATCACAGTTTTTTTAAAATGTACATTTTAAAAAGAATACTTAAAAAAAAGGAACGGGATTGCAAAAGTGGCTTCCTTTGCGTTTACGTTAGCAAGGTGTCACGTTTTTAATTTTATTTATTCGCTTATGTTACGTATAGTCCGCCAGAAATAAATTAAAAAAGACTCTCAATAAACGGGAATTAGGGTCGTGAAGCCAGCCAGAAATAAATTAAAAAAGAAAAGAACGGAAGGAAAGCACAGGTACTATCACAAAACATTAAAAGAGGTAAAAATGATATAGTCGTTTCAGCAAGGGAGGGAAGGCATAGCTGTCTCTCGTCAGATCTCAGAAGATAAGCGGGGTCGGTACTTGTAAGGGGGACGACGAAAGAAGGCTCTGCAGAGGAAGGCGACGGCAAACCGCCTCTGCTTCTCACTTGCCTTGAAAGCCCTCTCTGGGGTCACCATAAATTGGAAGTTAAGCAGGTTCGGTACTCGGAAGGGAGCCCACCAAGGAAGGCTCTGCAGGGCAAGGGGACGGCAAACCGCCTCTGCTTCTCTCTTGCTTTGAAAGCCCCCTTGCTGGAGTCACCATAAACTGGAAGCTAAGAAGGGTCAGTACCTGGATGGGAGACCACCAAGGAAGGCTCTGCAGAGGAAGGTGATGGCAGACCACCTCTGCTTCTCAGTTGCCTGGAAAGCCCCTTGCTGGGGTCACCATAAGTAGGAAACTAAGCAGGGTCGGTACTTGAAGGGGAGACCACCAAGGAAGGCTCTGCAGAGGAAGGCGACGGCAAACCGCATCTGCTTCTCACTTGCCATAAACACCCCTTGCTGGGGTCGCCATAAACTGGAAGCTAAGCAGGGTCAGTACCGTAGTACCTGGATAGGAGACCGCCAAGGTAGGTTCTGCAGAGGAAGACAATCGGAAAACCACCTCTGCTTCTCTCTTGCCTGGAAAGCCCCTTGCTGGGGTCGCCATAAGTTGGAAGGTCAACAGAGTCGGTACTTGGATGGGAGACCACCAAGGAAGGCTCTGCAGAGGAAGGCCATGGCAAACCACCTCTGCTTCTCCCTTGCCTTGACAACCCCTTGCTGGGGTCGCCAGAAGTGGAAAACTAAGCAGGGTCAGTACTTGGAGGGGAGACCACCAAGGAAGGCTCTGCAGAGGAAGGCGATAACAACTCTTGTTTCTCACTTGCCTTCAAAGCCCCTTGCTGGGGTGGCCGTGAGCAGGCCGTGACTGATGGCACGTTACACACACAAACAGTTTCAGCAAGCTAAACGCAGCAGTATACACCGCAGTCCCTAACAACTGACCCAAGTCATTTCGTGAATCCTTTAGGACGGCGCAACACTGTTGCCTGTGTAGAAAGGCCCTCTATCACTGTCTGTATATCTGAGAAATAAACCACGCGCCATCCGGCCAGCCGATGGCCTTGTTTGTCTGCCACTGAGCCAGGGTCTCAGGTCAAGGTCTTCCCCATCTCCTCCTGCCTGGTCCTTTCAACTGGAGATGCCGGGGATTGAACCTGGGACCTCCTGCATGCCAAGCAGGTGCTCTGCCACTGAGCCAGGGTCTCAGCTCAAGGTCTTTCCCATCACCTTCTGCCTGGTCCTTTTTCACTGGAGATGCCAGGGATTGAACCTGGGACCTTCTGCCTGCCAAGCAGAGGCTCTGACACTGACTGAGCCAGGGTCTCAGGTCGAGGTCTTTCCCATCACCTCCTGCCTGGTCCTTTGAACTGGAGATGCCAGGGATTGAACCTGGGACCTTCTGCCTGCCAAGCAGAGGCTCTGACACTGACTGAGCCAGGGTCTCAGGTCGAGGTCTTTCCCATCACCTCCTGCCTGGTCCTTTGAACTGGAGATGCCAGGGATTGAACCTGGGACCTTCTGCCTGCCAAGCAGAGGCTCTGACACTGACTGAGCCAGAGTCTCAGGTCGAGGTCTTTCCCATCACCTCCTGCCTGGTCCTTTGAACTGGAGATGCCAGGGATTGAACCTGGGACCTTCTGCCTGCCAAGCAGAGGCTCTGACACTGACTGAGCCAGAGTCTCAGGTCGAGGTCTTTCCCATCGCCTCCTGCCTGGTGATGCCGGGGATTGAACCTGGGACAGGGTCTCAGGTCAAGGTCTTTCCCATCACCTCCCGCCTGGTGCTTTTCACTGGATATGCCGGGGACTGAACCTGGGACCTTCTGCATGCCAAGCAGAGGCTCTACCACTGAGCCAGAGTCTCAGGTCAAGGTCTTTCTCATCACCTCCTGCCTGGTCCCTTTTAACTGGAAATGCCAGGAATTGAACCTGGGACCTTCTGCATGCCAAGCAGAGGCCTGCATCTTTTCGAGGCCTGTCGATACTTGCAGGCTGTTCCAGAGTTTCACTGCCCTCCACGCCAACCTGATCTCACCACCGTAGAAGGTGGGCAGCCCACCAATGGGCCTGGATTCTGTTTCATTCTCTCCCCCCCCCCCGAAATTAGACACATCCAAACACACGCTCCTTCTCTTTGTAAATGGCTGGGAAGGCAGACCCGGTGGAGCAGACACTCTTGCCCGGTAGAGATCTGATGCGTCATTCCCTGCCCAACTAACCTTCTGGCCAAATCGAAGTGGCATGGTGGGGCGGGATGCGTTCTAGAGCGCATGCTGTGGGCTCACGGGCCTTCCTTCCCCTGGCACGGGCTGGGCCGCACAACGTCCAACCCGGATATACGCGGGAGCCGAACATCCTCTCTCCCCGCCCACTGCCCCGGGCACCC